ATTCTACATAACAGTATATTTATTGTCATTACTTAAATTTATATTGACTAGGTCTAATACCTATACATACTTTCTTTTCTTTATCGGATATCATTCCGAAATAGAGACGATGGTTTTTAAGAAATAATACTAACGAATTTTAATATATTTTATTCGCAAGTTTATATTTGCTATGTATAAAGTCATCAAATAGAAAATGATTATCATTTACTAACGTAATACAAATGATGTAATTCGTGATCTTTAAGATCTTTGGTAAATTGCATCTTATTGATGATTGTCAAGTTTATTATTAAAAATTCTGTTTATTAGCAAAAAAAGGCTAGCAGAATAAATATCAATTACAAAGAAATAATGTTAAGAGATTTAAAAATTTTATTCAATGATCTACAACAATTTCGAATTGAAAATTTTGAAGAAGTGAAGATTTTGAAAGTGGTTCAAGTGCTTCAAATAGTAAAGGTCTAAATGGATCTGATCCCTACGCGTACTTAATTTCAATTTCTTTGTTTAATCCTTGATTTAAATGCGGTACAAACTTTTCATATAATTACATAATGATTTCTGAAACAAGTTTTGAGCAAAAAATTCTTGCTCATTTCCGAGTGATTTTCAATAAGACCTTTATTTATGCGTCATTAAATATCTTATTCTATTTTGTGTCATTAATTAATTATATTAACCGATCCAATCCTTCACTCATTTCTTTGTTTTATATTTTTACTTAACTTAAAAGTAGCATAGACTTTTCGCATATCTTAAAACAAACCAATTTTGAACAAATTCTTGCAATTTTCGAGTGGTTAATTTATCGAGTAACTTTAAATCTATATTTAATTGATGTTAATTCGAGATTTGAAAGATATTGACTGGTCAATGTTATTAATAGATTTTAACCTAACTTGATATGAATTATATTCCTTTGTTTATCTCAGACCTTGTTTGAATGCCGCATTAATGTGATGTGTAGAATTCCAACTTTCGAGATGTGTGCATTAACACGTGGATTAAAAGTATAAAAACATTAATAGTATTTTCATCTCAAAATAAAAATGCCAGAAACAAATAAGAAAATTTACAACCCAAAAGAATTAAATAGTTTTTGGCATCTGTACCATTACCATCCTCTTGTAATATTCAGTATTACACTGAAAAAACTTATGTTATAGGTGCATTTAATATTCGAGCATTCAGTGTTATAAAAAGTGCAAACGAATCTATAATGAGAATCATTAAGAATATTATCAGAAGTTATGATATCATTTTATGCCAGGAGATCCACGCACCTCAAGATGAAATTGAATTTATTAAAGAACTAGTTGAATCAATTTCAACTTCCTCTACGCCATACACATACACTTTATCTGACCCTGTTGGTAGAGATAATGAAAGGTATCTATATATTTATAAGGAGAAAGTTTGGCGATTGAACAAAGCTTACATAATTAATGAGGAGAAGTTGGATGTCAAATTTATAAGAAATCCTTATATTGCCAAATTTCAGTATCAAAGACATTCTGAAGTATGGATTAATCTTGTTGGATATTATACAGAACCCAGAAACGCGTATTATGAAGTACGAGCGTTGGTAACTGATGTCTATCCTTTTGTAAAAGATAAGATGATGAAAGGGCAAATAAATAAACTACGAGTAATGAACTATTTTCTATGGATGAATTAATATATGCATTTGATAATCTTATTAATAAGTCTGACAATTTCTCTAAATTTGTTTCCGAGAGGAAAGAATCCAGAAAAAAAGTTTTCGATGAACCTATAATTATGATAGGGGATTTTGATACATCAGATCTTAGGAAAGATGAATATACAAAAGTTGACAGATTATTGCAACAAAATGAGTTAGTTCTGGTTGGGTTAAATGCTTCGTATGATCAGTTTATTTTTGAAAAGAAGGTGAAGAAAAAAATGATCAAAAGTGTTAAAGTGTGGAGATTTAATAAGGATTGGTCATACAATGATCTGTCTATTGTCGAAGAAGCAACTAAACTCATATTTAATAATTTTCCTATAAAATTTGTATTTAAATTAGAGTAATTGTTATTATTAGTTTACAATTTAATTTATTGAATAAACTTATACGATGTCTATACGATCATGTTTGACTTCGTCATAGCATATCTCATGTAGTTCATTGTCATCCATGATCTGTATCTCTAATGCCAATATGCCGGGCATGGGCTCCTAGTTATAACAAATCGATTCTACCAAATTTAAATTTATCAGAGTTACGAGCCAATTCTACCAACATTATGGTTATCAGAGTTACGAGCTAATTCTACCATATTATTATGTTCACAAGAGTTTAATTCTACTAAAATTATATTTATGAGAGACATGAATTAAATTCTACCAAATTTACAGTTACCAGAATTACTAACTTACCAATCTAATGATGGCTAATATTATTCTTTTAATTCTTTTGCCTATCTCGCTATTCAAGACTCAAATAAACCCAACTTGGGTTCATTTTGAGCCTACTTACGTCATATTCTAAGTGGTAATAATATTTTTACTAATTCTTTTTAGTATTACATTCTTTTGGATTATATTTGTTTCCTACAAGATAATACTTTGTTGATAATTCAAATTACCCTTATATTAATTTGATAATATACTCCATTTTAATAATTAATATAGCCTTTTCCAAATGGTTAAAAACAAATACTAAATAATATTTTCGAATTTGGATTTGGCTATCTTTTGTTTGAAGAATTTTTCATTGTTTTGTCCATGTGATTCACGTGATATCGATAATCTATTTTCAAAAATTTTTTTATTTGATTTTTGATAGATATATATTCAATAAAAAGTTTGCTTTAAGTTACAAAAGCTTTATCAAAGCTAAATTAAATCTGTTACTTTTTAATCATACATCGATGCCACCAATATCGCCAACGCCTCTGTAGCTGGTAATCGATATTTGCTAGTTAATCCGAGAAATAATGTTGGAATAAGAAAATTCGATTGTTACCTAATTACAAATAAGAAAAATAATTAATGTTAAAATTCTTTGTACTTTACTTCAAAGATGTCTTTTGTCCGAATGGCCGTACTATTTCTGAGATAATATTTTTACTATAAATTCTTTTCTTCTTTTTAGTATATTCTTTACTTTGTATAGCACGTATTCGTGTATAGAATTCCAAATTGAATCTAATTGGTACTCAATAAATTAACCACTTGAAAATTGCGGTTTGTTTTAGTTATGTGAAAAGTCTATGCTACTTTTAAGTTAAGTAAGAATATAAAACAAAGAAATAAGCGAAGGATTGACCCGGTTAGTATAATCAAGTAATGGCACAAAATAGAATAATTTAATGACATGAAATAGAAGTATACAATAATTTGTGAAAAGTGTCTTTACTAAATTAATATTATTTGAATTGCAGACTTTTATGTATAGAATTTCGATTAATAAGAAATCACACTCCATATATACGACTTTAAAAGATATAAATTTACACTCTTCTATTCCTGCCCATTCCTGGACATCACTTGAAAAACATACTTCCATATTATTTTTAGATATTTTCATGTATAAAATCCTAATTTGAATTTATCAACAAGAATTCATAGTAATAATTTTGTAAGAACAAAAATAGATAAGGCAGTTAATGATTCAATGTAATCCAAAGAATGTATTAAAAGGAAGGAATAAAAGAATTCTTAGTAAAAATATATCAACTCAGAAATGGCAAGAATATACAGTTACCATTCAGACAAAAGACCTTTTTGCAGTAAGGTGCAAAAAATTTTGATTCTTTGTTTCAGGAATTACTTACG